TCTGTCGCGGCCCCAGGAGGGGGGACGAGACTCCCGAGACGGGCTCCCAGGAGCCATCATCAGCTCGACGAATGAGGGCAACTCCAGAGCCACAGCGCCTGCGTCTCGGGTCACTGCTGTGTTTCCCCCCTGACCCATCCCCAAAAATGTGGGGAGGGTCCTGGCCAGGGGCTACACAAAACTCACAGAGGCGAGAGGAGCCGTAGTACGTAAGAGGAGGGGCCTCAAGAGGGTCAAGGAAGACGGGGCAGGTGAGGTCTCTCGACGGAACTCCTCTCAGCCATAAAGAAGGGTCAGCTTCCCATTGCGCCGTGGCTTGGGAAACCAGTGACTGCGTGCTGCTAAAATCTTGGTGATCTACATTACACACGCATTGCCATATTCTGTGAAACAAGGTCTCAGGGGCCACCTTGCACCTTGGACAGGTTACATCAACCGTGTAGCCACTGTCGGCTTGGCGCTGACGTGGCCATTGGCCCCCAGAGGCCACGCACAAGGTGAGGCCCCACAGATCCGACTGACCCCGAGACTCGAAGCGGCGGAGTTCCTGCTGCAGTGGGAGGAGATCGGCTCCATCTTTCAAACTGTCGCCTGCCTCGTGCCCTGCAGCACCTTGCCACAACTTAGCCTTCATGTCAGAAACGAACTCATGCAACAAGTCTGCATGGTCAGAAATCGGGAGTAAATCATAGTCTGGGTCGCCCATTCGTGGGAACCTCCACGCATGCTCCGCATGATCAGGTCGTTCCCACAGGTCAGGTTCCCTGGGCTCCCATCCTGCTTCAAGAAGGGTGGCCTGGACTGCAGCTATGGGCCCCCGAATGCCTCTCCACCTTTTGGCGCCAAGCGAATCGAGCTGCGACCGAACGATACCCCACGACCGTCGAATACGAGGCTGGAGGGCGGGGAAGCGCTTCCACAGCTGCAGCCAGGCGTCCACCAATTGGCGGCGCAGTTCCAGGGCGGGATCTCCATCCCCCAGCACAGTCTGCAGAACAGTTGTTAAACATTTGCCCTTACCCATTCCCGAGACCGTGCGAGCAGCTTGTCGCCTAAGAAGCAGGACCTGACTCGGTGGCATACCGTAAACTTGATGGCCAAAGCTGGCCTGTGGTAAGGCTCCCGTGCGCCAAGCGCCCTGGGTGACTTTCCTCAAACCAGCCAGCCTGCGCATCTTCACAATCCTAGAAAAACGCCCGCTGGCTTTAGCCATTCTCTGGCGTGCCTTCTTCCGTGTCCGAAAGCGACCTGCCGCAGTGTCTACACCTAAATCAACTCCAATAGAAGCAAACCTAGCGGGCATCCCTCGGGCTCTGAAAATTCTGGCAATGTGTTTCCCTAGCTCAGGAGAGGACGCCAAGACAACCGTTTTGTCCGAGACCGTGAGCCTCTTGAGTCTGAATCCCTCCGAGAAGGCTTCAGCAAAACCTTCCATCTCCGAAACGACAGTGGCCTGGGTGCCCTCGGATCTTGCCACGGTGTCATCGACGAAGGTCCATAACGAGGCCTGAGGGGCTCTAGCGTGCGCGGCCTCCAGCACAGAATGCAAGAACACTTTTCCAAGGCAGACTCCATGCGACGATCCAGCCACAATCGAGCGGCCTGGGCAGAACGGCTCGCTGATGACCGAGCCCTCCTTGAGGATGCGCGGCGCCATGAAGAGGAGGATCTCCATGAGCAGCACCGTGGGAGGGAAGTTGAGCCCCCGCGCCGCAACCACCAGGAGGGTGAAGGAGATGGAGTCGTAAAATTTGGCAATGTCCAGCAGAACCGTCGCCGTTGCCTTGCCTGTGGTAGCCGAGGCCTCATCCATGAGGCTTCTCGTCATCGCAGCTCTCAGGGCGCTGCTGCCTCTGATGGCCGTGTCCCAGAAGGCAGAAAGTCCATCTGACCAACTGGAGGTGACCGAACTGCGCGCCTGGCTCCACGTCTTGCAGCATTGCGGCAACATGCCCAGAACTCTCGTGCCTCCAGCTGGCTTCGGAATAACCGCACAAATAGTAGCTAACCACGCTGTCGGCCAAGTTTGCAGTAGCTCCGCTTGATTGAGGATACACGTGAGCTCCGTCAGTCCAGCTTGAGGCATGCGTTGAAGGTCAACTGGGCCCAAACCATCAACTCCTCTAGCTATGTTTGGCGATTGTCGTCTAAGTATCGATTCAATCTGACCTTCATTCAGTGGTGGCAAGGGGTCATCACGAGCATCCCTGGCCAATCCTTCCAAAGTCCATAGCAAGTGCTCCCTGCTGTCATTATCCTCCTGCCACACTGCCTGCCAAAAGTCCTTCTTGGTGCGAATGAGTACGCAAGGGTCAGCAGTGTCCACTCCATCTCTGATGATCTCACGAGGAAGTGGGTCAGGGGGAGGAGCACGAACGTGACGATGAATAGCACCTGGCCTCTTGGCCCACATCTGCTTCGCCCAGTCCATGAAGGCTTGGCGAGACTTGACTAATGAGCGCCCCTGGGCGCGGTCGACCCACGTGTTGGTGTGCACCTG